AGTTGTATCCAACCAGGAAGGACTCAGTTATAGGAACCTGCGTAGGCACCCTTGTAGAAACCCTTACAAAGCGCAGGGCTCATTGGTCGAAGAATTTAGATTGATAGACTCCAGTAAGCTAAACCTGAAGCCCCAAACCGCGAATCCCCAAGCCCCCCCACCAGAGCCTTATTTAGCGCTAATCCCCCTTACACGATTCAACCCTGAACCCAAAGCATGATATTATCAAGCCTATTCAAGAAAGAAATCACGCTGCACCTCTAGGCGGTGGTGGCACAGTTAAACTGATACAGTCGATGATTATGGTTCGGTTGCAAGGTCTGGGAGTCTAGGGTCAGGGTTGAGCCTTCAAGCATCTCCTCACACCCTGACCACCCCAAGCCACCGAAAACCCATGGCGTCACAAAGCTTCGGACATCACGGACCCTTACCTCGATCCCGGCAAGTGTGATTGTTCTCACCGTCAACACCCCCTGAACGGCATCCCGACCTCTTACCCCGTCCTCTACCCATATACTATCTATGGGTGTATATACCCAGGTGTTGGAGCCCAAGCTCTGTGCTCGCATGCTATACATATATAATTCGTAATCGGTAGGTCATTAGGTTGTTTATGCAGACACATACGTACAGCGAATGTATGGTGTCTGCATGGCAGCCCGGGTGCAGACCATTTTTGCATCTCTGGCAAGCATTTGCCTGGAGAGTGCTACACGCACCCTCAACTGCTTTTGGAGTTTACCCTCAACCCTAGAAACCCTCAAACCCCGGACCCCCAAACTCTAAACCCTCACGCACGGGAGCCTGTACCTGAGAAGCACATATCCCAGAGAGCCCAATACTTCTTGATTGAGGATTATATACATTACATCCCCCAAAGGGTCGAATATATGGGGGCAACTTACTCAAACCATAAGAGATTCCAATATTTAGAGAAATTTTGCGATGTAGTCACGTCGGCCATACGGTTGATGCTATAAATCCTGCATTAGCCATAACAAAGAAGATGCCATAATTCCCATAGCTTAGGGTACTTAAGGTGATGCAGGATTTATATCATCAACAGTGAACCCTAAACCCTAAACCCTATACCCTATGCCCGAGGCCCTAAATCCTGAGCCCTAAGCCCTAAGCCCTAAACCCTAAGCCCTAAACCTTAAACCCTAAACCCTAAACCCTAAATCCTAAACCCTAAATTTCTAAATCCTAAACCCGAAAACCTGAACCCTTATTCCTAACCCCCCGTGACTGAGGCCAGCGGCATCCCCCAGAGCCGTCTGACACTCCACGCAGTAAAGGAGGCCTCTTTCGAAGGGCTTTTCGGGCTTTAGTTTATGGTTTAGGGCTTTACAGGGACTTACGGTTTAAGGTTTATAAGGGTGTTCATGAAGCCCGAAGGTGAAGAAGTGCCGTTACGATGTGGCCGGCTATCGGTGTATGGCTTTCATGTGAGGCTTGCTGAATAGGCCCCTGCAAGCAGCTGCCCTGGGCCACTGGGAAGTTGGGATTGAAGATTCGATGGCCCTAAAGCCCCAACAAACACTGACAACGCCCCAACTTACCTCTCAGGCTTGTTTCGATGTGGGTTTTCCGGGAAGGTAACAGAAAGATCGTAAGAGTTCCCCACGGCAGGACAATTTCTTTCGAACAAGCCCGCACAGATGTTTCAGGACCCGGAGAGGTTCAATCCAGAATCAGGCTTCTGCTTTGAGTGTGTGCGGTTTAGGGTTTGGGGTGTAGGGTGGCATCTCAGAACTCATGCGAATACAGGCACAACGGTGAGCTGAGGTTCCACGGAGTGAGCCCAAGCAAGTCAAGATCACAAAACCCCACTACCTCCAACCCTGAACTATTGAAGTCTCTATAACCCAAAATCCCTCAATCCTTGTCTGACCTGATGGGGAGATCTTCTTCATAAAGCCGACTCGGTCCAACTCGAGGTTCACAACGAGAGACTCCACGTCCACGCAGTTCTGCAGGCATTTCAGTTTGTTCTGGGTTCAAGGCGATGAGCATGGGGGCGTGCCAACGAATTCCAGGAGCCTTGCCCAACGCCTGAAAATCCTGAAGTATCTTACTTCAACTGCGCTTGGCAGAAACCAGGCGTCCGAAAACCCAACAAAGCCTCACAGCGAGCACAGCTTTCTGAAGCTGTTTGCGCCCTGTGCTGGAGTGCTGGACAAGTAGAAACAGAAACTTTCAACCCTGCACGAAGAAGATACACACTCCGAAGGCGCTACTAGCTCAGTTGCAGCCCGGTAGGGTTTGATGTTTATAAGGTTTATTCGGTTTGTGTTCATAAGGGCTTAGAGGGCTGATTTAGGCATAGTAAAGGCACCTAGAAGCACCGACCCCCCCCCCCCCCCCCCCGCCCCAACCCCATAGAGCTCCGAAACAACCCTTAAACCCGCCCCCTCAACCAAGCCCTAGCCAGCGCCTGGGCACCAACATTCTGACCCCAAGTGTTTGCTCCAAGCTTGCTGGCAGAGCCCGGCGATCCGCCTCGATGGTGGTCTGGAACTTTCCAGTCCGCTTATACCTGAGGGGAGCCCTACTTCGTACCTGATGACATAACGCGTCGTAGAGTACAAGGTGTAAGCCAAGATCTGATATATCACGGGATATGATCGGGTACGATATGTCCGGTAAGACAGGGAAAGACGAGAGTAAACAAGACGAAGCAACACAAGAAATGAAAACACAACATGCGGCAAGATAAGATAAAATTAGCCAGTGCAATTTCAGATGAGCCAGGATACAACAACATGCGACAAACACAGGTAAGATAACTGGGGTAAGATACTACAACATATGATACGATGACATCCTCACATCGTCCTGGCTGATATGCAGTGTGCCCTCTCTGCCTGAAGTAGGCATCTTCGACGGAAGTCTTGATCCTGCGGCGCAGGCAAGGCTTGGGAAGGCGATCTTTGTTCATACTAGTTAAAATTTTACCAACACCGTTGCAAAATGGGCCGCCGGTGGAGCCCTGGTGGGCTGCACATCCCGAACACTGAAAAAGAGCTCCAGCTTCAAAAACATGCTAGCAATGCTAAGGCGCGCGAAGTGAAAATCAGAGTGAGCTCAGAGTCATGCGCCTGTATTTTACTGGCTTTATAGGTATTTCTAATGATACATTGAATCAATTTGCTTTCGAGCCCGGCTCCTGCGAATCAGGTATGGCTCATCGGACGGGCTCACGTCCAAATCCTTCATCACTTCCTGCAAGGTGCAGCCAGAGAATCTTTCACAAGATCGTGTTTCCCGCAACGGGAAAAATGCCGATTGCTTGGAGATTTCATGATGAAGGGAGAAAGGAGTGACCGGCAAAGCTTCAGGCCACAGGCACTTAGCTTTAAAAGCTTCGACACATTGGCCGCATCGAAGTTTCGGCGATGACGGCAGCTTGCACCTACGTACTTCTCTCATGCTGCAAGGGAACAGGTCGAAATTAGGCACTATCGCAGTACTTTGTCTACGGCATTCCATAATAAAAGTTAGATACAGGATGACGCCCGGGTTCCTGACTTGCCAAGTCTGCCTGGTGATCTGTTGCAAGTGTGAGCAGGGAGGACATTGCACATCGAAGTCCGCAAAACCATCTCGTAGTCGCAACCCCATCCGAAAGAGCTTCTACGACGCCACCGCTGAACAAGAATGTCGGGGGCACATGGATGCCCGGAGAAGCCACCCATGTCTCCCTCACCGCACCTCGATAAGCTTTGGCGTGCAAACGCGTCGCACGTCCTGGAAGCATGGTTTCGGCTCGGGCTTGGGAACCCCTGGGTCACTTGGATCTTCATTTTGGGTGTTGTGTGGCTCTTTCAGGAATGAAACCCTAGGTTTTCTTTGGCTCTTATACTTGAGGCTCAGGGTTTGGGGTTTGGCACAAACCTTAAACAACCCGGGGTTAGAATAGAAGACCCCGGCGGCCCTGGAAAAGTAGACCTTAGCGAGCCTTCAGCCCTTGGGAACACTTCCAATGTACATGTTTCGGTTACCGCCTAGGGTCGGTTACCCCTTTGTGGTCCTCTAAATTCTGAGCTTTATCTGGTTTTCACAGTCTTCGGCATCCTCTAGAGCATCTCCTGAAGGAGAACCGCCCATGGATGACCAAAACTGTATGATGTCTAAAACTTAAACTAAATAACTACATACTAAAACAAATAAGGATGTGTGTATATATGTATACACATCATATTGATGTGATCCGCTCTGTCATGTGCACCGGGTTTCGATCGACCCAGGAACTTCCTTTTCTTGGATTGCATCAACCTGAAGGAAAAGTACTTGGCACGTGGGCTTCACAACTAGCATGGCGTGATGCAACTGCACTTGAGATCTCGAGGCCACACCCACTTTAATTCGGTATTCTGGAAGGCTCCATGCGAAGGCCATGCCACAACAGCACCGCCAGTCCTTTTCGCCCATGATGGCACGGTAAACGTGATGCCGGACGCGACTCAGCAGGCGCGTAGGTGGGGAACAACGAGCTCTGCACACGAGCTTGAGTCTGAGTGCAATGCCTTACAGCTTTTGATAATAGTAACCCTTTACAGTCTCTCTAGAACTATGGTAATTCTACTATACCGACTATACCCCAACACCCTTGAATCACGGGGTTTTAGCTTCGGCAGCAGTTGTGCTCTGAAGCTTCCGTTCCAACTTTCGACAGATATCCGAGGGCCGTGCTAGTGTGGATCCAGGTGCTTCATCTGGAGATCCTCAGTAGACGTAGGCTCTCCTTGTCTCACTCCACTGAATAAGATAATATCACACCGTCTAATACACGATAACATATTGTATATGGATAATACGGTACAACATTATAAGGTATAATACAATGTTACATATAGTAAGAAAATATAACATGATAAATTAAAGTTTCGTACACACGACTATACAGTCTAGTCTAGTATGGTATTAGTATGTGCACACAACATCATAATCTCTAACTCTAGTAAAACAAAACATGGCAGAATACATGACACTACCTCCCAACAGCCAGGACCCCTGCACTCTGTGAGGCCATAAGCCGCTCTGCCAGCTTCCGATGCGCCTCTGCGATGGGGTGGTACCTGTAGCATGGGGTGTGGGGTTGTGGTTCAGGTTAGGTGATGCTTCGAACAGAACGGTTCAGGTTAGGTGATGCTTCGGTTCTGTTTGATGTTGAAAGCTTTCATGTTCTGGTGTTGCAGGTTCTGTCCTCATTTGCAGTTGAGGCAGTGTTTGGAAGAAGCCACCTTTGAGGCTGCACCTTCAGATTCTAGGATCGCTGGACTTCATGCATGCACTCGAATGCTGAGAATATCACAAAGAATGCCAAGGAGGCCTGACTTGAAAATCCGATCTGCGACTCCAGAACGCAAAGTCCACCTCTGCAAAAGCCCCCAAGGCAGGTAGTGGCACGGTCGAGTCTCATCCTTGTACTTGTAGCAGTACTCCAAGTCACCACTGCGGACCTTCCCCACCAGCTGCTCGACAGGTTCCAGACACAGCGCGATAAAATGATTCAATGATGCTAGAGTTTATGGCTGCGGGAGCTTAGGCATGAGGCCTTAAAGCCAACATCGCTTGTAAACCGCGCTGCAGGTACACTCGACCTCGCATGTTCAACTATCTGAGCACCGAAAGCGAAACAGGGAAGAGCAAAGTGGACCAAGGTTGACCTTGCAGTCCTGCTTACCTGTTCAATGATAGCTTTGCTCAAACAGATGCAGTGCTAGGTCCGTGCATAATTCCGAACAAATCTACTCTGATGCCCCGCGCCTGACACGTCCAGCCTTCATCCCGAAGCGATAGCAGGCAATCCCGGATCACCCAGTTGAACTCCGGCTGTGCCTGTGATGGAAGGTTCTTCGGTTGAGTTTTGAGAGCAGCAGGATGATAGCACGAGGGTCCACGGACAAGCAGGCTTTTACGATACATACAATACTCGTTGCCGATAAGTAGTTTCTGCGAGCTCCTGTTAATATGCTATATGATATGCTATAGTAAGATATATGATATACTATACCCTGTGCCAGTCCCGAGCTGTAAACCATGCAGCACCCAGACGACATGAAAGCCACAGGCGGTCTGGGCGAGACTTTGTATCTATATCTATATCTATCTCTATATATATATATACAGATAATTATACACTTCTCCCTCTCTCTCTCTCTCCATACATACATACATACATACATGCATGCATGCATACATACATACATACATACATACATAGGGGGAAACAAACATGCATTGCATTACATTCCGTTCCATTCCATTCCACTCCATTACATTACATTGCATTCCATTACGCTACACTACACTACATTCCATTCCATTCCATTCCACTACACTACACTACACTACATTACATTACATTGCATTACATACAAACGAACATACCTACCTACCTACCTACCTACATACATACGTACATACATACATACATACATACATAAATACATACATACATACATACATACATAGGGAGAAACAAACATGCATTACATTACATTCCGTTCCATTCCATTCCACTCCATTACATTACATTGCATTCCATTACGCTACACTACACTACATTCCATTCCATTCCACTACACTACACTACATTACATTACATTGCATTACATACAAACGAACATACATACCTACCTACCTACCTACCTACCTACCTACATACATACATACGTACATACATACAGACACACACACACACAAACATACTTACATAATCCCTTCCCCCTAATATTAAAGGGCCCCCCCCCTCCCTAATATTAAAACTGGATTTCGGCGGTTTGGCTTTAATATTAGGGGGGTTTCCGGCGC